CACCCGGGCTGTGAACCCTCCGGGGGGGGGGCCAGCCACAACCTCTCTGGGCAACCTGTTCCAGTGCCTCACCACCCTCACAGTGAAGAATGTCTTCCTAATGTCTAATCTATATCTACCATCTTTCACCTTAAGGCCATTACCCCTTGTCCTATCACTACATGCCCTTGTAAACAGTCCCTCTCCAGCTTTCCTGTAGGTCCCTTCGGGTACTGGAAGGCTGCTGTAAGGTCTCCCTGGAGCCTTCTCTTCTCCAGGCTGAGTAACCTCAACTCTTTCAGTCTGTCTTCATAGAAGAGGTGCTCCAGCCCTCTGATCATCTTTGTAGCCCTCCTCATATCACATACTAAATCATATAGTTTACGATGGCTACAACAACAACAAAAAACCCCAACTCCCAAGTTTTCAAAGTGCAGGAACTCTTACCCAGAACTTGTATTAAACACCAGAATTGTACTGAATTATAATTTCTGCATTAGTAATTCTAGAACAATTTATTGACTGGTCCTAAATTTTAAAGAGGTGAAATTAAAATCTCTTATCACATTCATTAAAAACTGTAGTTGCAATTTTTAAGATTTTAATTTTAGAAATAGTTCATTGTACAACTCTAATAATTGAGCTTTGCTGCCTCTCACAGATGAAATACCTAGATAACAATACCATGCTTGAAGAGCCATATTTACCATACCATATTTAAATGGCATCTAAATGCCAACTGTAGCTTTATTAGCAGCAGCAACATTTCAAAAGATTCTCTACAAAAGCATTAGTTCATATTTATGTTCAATTTTCCAAGTATTATGTATCAGAGTATTATCATGGACTTCATTCAGCTTGGCCACATCTATCTTTGTTTAGGCCTTTGCTAAGTCAATATGAATGTCCCAAGATCTACTTTCTTCTTATTTCAGACTACAAATGTCTGATAATGAAAAGTAAATAACATTACTTAATCAAGGCTATTCATAAGACGTACATTCCACCATGAGGAAAAAGGCAGGCTAATCTCAAGGCAGTGGGAAACTATGATTAAAAGTTTCTAAATAAAATAAGTTTAATTGATTAAAGAAACAAAACAAAACCCCCCACACACTCAAAAGCACTAGTTATAAAAATTTTAGTTATATATTGAATTTAAAGAAAAATGTTCTAACACAGGAAGATTTCGGAGTCCTGAGTATTGCTTGCTACTCTGCATTACACACATTTTCCAGCAAGGGGAGCTCGTACCTCACACAGACCTGAAGGTCTATTTTTAACTCTGTCCAATAGCCAATTTATGCTTTCTGAACCCATGGTCAACCAAGGTTATTATGTAATGCTTGCTCCAATAATTTTTTGAAAAAGTATTTTGTACAAGTCTCAAGTTAACTGTGTAACAGCTAATAACACAATATGTATTTGACATACCACATTCAAGGACAAACTTCCTTGTGAAAATTTTCATTTTTGTACTGAGTTACAATGCACATAGGTGCACTGTTTTTAGCATATCAAGGAATTCAGTGTCCCGAGTACTTGGTTTGACAACATTATCCTTCAGGTAAACAACAAAATTATTTAACCTGACTCTAGAAGTAACAGACAAAAAGAAAGTTGGACTAATGACAGGGAGGGATGAAGTCAGGCTAAAAGTTTATAGTTAGATTTCTCTTTGATTAATTTACTCAATCCAAATTTAAGTAACAGTGGAGTTATTACACAGAGTCATTTACTAAACCAAAGCCTTCACAATGGTCTTGGGAGACCTGTCTGTTCCAAGCCTCAGGACCTCCCAGAAATTCTGGACTTAGCCTCCTCTATTACAAAGCTGTTGCCAGATAGTTACATTAAAGATGATAGGAAGTATTAACATACTACATTCATGCATGGCATTTCTCTATCAAAGGCTACACCTCTACTAGCAACCTACACAGGGCTGGTGCATGGATCCTCAGCACTGGCCTGCACACATCAATACTGTTAATGTAGTGGCTTCCTGGTACAGTTTTGGTCTGTGCAAACCCACTTCTACACAGTATCTTGCTATAGCTCGAGGAATAGCACAGGCAAAGGACATTCCCCAAAGGCAGCTTAAATGCAGGCATCCTGTTCTGGAGAGTGCTCAGGTATGGATTTGAATCAAGTTGTGCCACCTAACCTCAGTGCCAGAGTACGGTCTCTGGTCCATTTTATTTCCTACCATAGGAAGATACACCTTAGATAACACACTCTAAACAGAAAGGCAACAGTCCTGATTAAAAAATAGTTGTAAAAGCAGTTTTCTGTTGGAACAGCCCAAGGTAATAAATGCTAGTATTTGCATTTGGCTTAAGATTTGAATGACATGAGACACCTATCTGTTCCAAATGCACAAGCACATGCTAGTCCATACTGCTCCTTTCATTT